ATCTCCGAAGATAAACCCAAATTGTTGCGAAGTTCTGTTGCGCGTATTCCTTGAAAGAAACGCTACCTGATAACAAAACGTCGTTTTGCTTTCTCTTCAAAAACAGCAAAGGCAGAAAAAGGGGTGTTTTGGCAAATAATGATTCAAGCAATGTTTGGAAAAATTCTGCGGTATAATAGATGCTTTGACAAGACCGAAAGAGAAACCAAAGTTCAGAAAAATTTCGAGAATCGATGACTTTTTAGATGACGTAAACACTAAAATCATCCCATTGGTACATAAACACGATCTCTTTTTCACATAACCAAAAAGTTAATTTCAGCTGTCTTAAAAAAAAAAAGATTTTCTGATTGAGTTTTTCTATTGCAAATGGTTCAGCAACCTTTTGATTTTCAAATTTTGAAAATTAAAGAGTTAAGAATTAATTTCCTCTGCTTTCTTGCATAGGCTAACTGATAGAAGTCATAAAATCAAACAAAACGGACGATATAAAAGGAAAATAGGACAAAAGCAGGCTGGACAAGAAGAGTCAACTTTTATTGCCAAAATATCCTTGAAGGGCCACAACAAATAGTGATTCATACCATTTGGAGCACGGAGTCCTTTTGAACTGTTTCGGCACCGTAATGCATCAGCGGCGGAGACTTTGTTTCTACAACATCGGTGACCAATAGCATGAGCCGGCGGTTTCTTCAGTTCTTCCTCTCTTTTAAAGACTCCGATGAGGCTATCAAAAAAGCCGCTTCTTTTGGCGCAGATGTGTTGCAGACTTCTCTTTGATCTTGTCACACGTGTGTCGCATGTGTAGCTTTTTATCTCGTAACATTTCTGGAAGTTCACACCGAGTAGTACAGGCATTCAACAGCTTTTCCAATCTATTTGATCGAATCCAATTTTGCAACAAGCTGTAGTATCTTTTCGGCTGTGAAGCCATGAATAAAAGAGACACTGGAAAGGCACTAGAGTTGAAGGTCGTTTAGCGGAAACGGACAAACAAGTGGCAAGCAATTTTACGAGCGAAGAAAAAAGCTGGGCAAAACACGGCTGAGTGAGTGCAAAAATGCAAGGAATTTTTTCTGCTTTGACCTCCTGCTTCCCTTCAGTTTTGCGCAGCTTGCAATGGGATTTGAAATGGCTTTAGTCGTTGTTCGGTTCATTTGAAATCAAGGAAAAACACTTCGAAACTTCGATAAAAGCCGGGTGGTTACAATAACTAATTTTACTTTAAATGTGAACATATGAAATTGATTAAGTTTGTTCCAATTGTAAGTAGGTCTAAGTTTGAATGAAAAGGTGGGAATAACTGGGAGCTTCTTAGAAGAAAATGTTCTAATTTTATGCTTTTTATGTTGAGATCGTGTTCAAGATTATGAAATGCCGATTTGGCATAGTTTACTGAAGGAAACTTATTGATTCTTAGCGAAAAAAGCAAAAAGCAAAACATGAAAAAATTCCAGCAGCAAGAAAAACAGCTTCAGGTCAGTTTTTCTGAGCAATTTTCTACGTAATAGGAAAGTGGTTTTGCTCTCACCCGAGCAAAAAAATGAACTGCACTGAAAAATGGGGCAATATTCATGTTTTCTACATGTTTTTTGGCAATCTCTCGAACTTGCGCAAAAAAGGAGAGAAACGTTTTCATCGGAAAAACGCAACACTGAATAATAAAATTGGGGAAGCTTTCGCGTGCACGAACACGTTTGTTCCGTCTTTCCCATTTTCAGTGAGTGACGATGGCCAGCGAATAGGAAAGAAAAATTGTTGCAAAGGGCTCATTCTGAATAGGAGAGCGACAAAAATAAAAAAAAAGGCGAATATAGCTGAGGCCAAAGTTTTTTGTCTTTTTCACGTCCCGCATAGGAAACAGATTGGTTTCATAACAGCTTAATCGTATCAAAAAGAAGGAAAGAAACATGTGAGGTTTAATCTGAGATGAAGGACCCTTCCGAAGCTCAACGAAAGAGAAGAACAAATTTCTTTCAACAAATTGAAATAAAAACCTAAGGTAACAGAAGTTAGTTTTTTTTTCAGTAAAACTTTCAAACACCCACGAACAACTTCGTATGCAAAAAGTTGGATGATTTTTTTTTTGAATTTTTCACAAAATAAGTTTATTTTCCGTCATCTACCAGACGTCAGAACAAAATTACTCATTTCAAAAACATTTCCATCCATTTCACTATTTGGTGGAAGGCTTATTTCCATACTGAATTCAATCCAGATAAAATTCGGATTCTTTCCTATTTTTGTTTTCTTGCAACTTCCCCGTAGCGTTAACTGAATCGGCGTCACTCCTAGAGCACAGATCGAGAAAAAGCCACCAAAATAAGCGAGAGTTTCTTTCGTTTCACTCTTTTTCTTTCTCTCTCATTCAGAAAAAGAAGCGAGAAAAAAAATCGAATGGAAGAAGGGAATAGCTACGTGAACGTTTGCTCAGCTTCCTGGCTGATTCGAATTATAAAAAATTTAGCACTAACGACGGGATTTCTTCAAATTTTATAAAGCTGTGATTGAAAATTTTCAGATGGGAATACGTAAAAATTTGAAACTGTAAAAAAATTTCAAACAAGATTATAAAAATGACATACAGCAATCATTTTGAGACTGTTTCGTTGGTAAAAAAAAGGAACTAATTTTCTCATATGAAACCGTAAGTTCCTATCGAACAACAATTTTGGCATCACTTGCGCTACGTTTAGCTTTTATCGTTCAAAATATTTTTATCTACTCGCGTTTTATTTTAGAGATTATGTTTGCCTAATCCAAATCTATCCGCAGGAAACCACAAAAATAGAAAACATGGATGTCCGGTTGCAAAAACTAAGCTTTTGTTCGTATGATCTGAATGAGATTAGACAGAACAAAGATTCATCTTCTTCATCGTTTAAGCTCCAAAATCGGTTCTTAGCAGCCTCTTCAAAGATTTTCGAGTTGAAACTGTCAAATTTAGAATAATTAAAATTATCAAATTTAGATTAACATGATTTTCAAACCAATTTTTGCAGTTTTTCAGTTTTTCACATCTTGGAGCAACGAGTACACTTTCAGAAACGGAAAAAAAATGTTTTTCGAGAGCTGACTGTTGCACCCAAAGCTCCAGAGGATTCGGCCCTAGGCGATTAAAATGGGCATCTTGCATTTTGACGTTTCCATTTCAGTTGTTTACAACAAGATGAGAAAAAGAAGCTTGAAATAAAACAAAGCTTTGAAGGAAATTCGGGTTTTGTTCAACGCCAGTTCCAACGCTATAAGAATCATTTTCTACATTGAGAAACTTCCGAAATCACTTTTGAACTATTCATTTGAAAGTTTCATCAAACGATTTGAAGCTAAAGATATTTCTCATCGCTGGACTTTCTTCGCCCTAAGTCGGTAGTCCCTGATCAAAAAACTAGAACTCAGCCTCAACGGCCGAAAAAGTGTCACAGAAAATTAGCTTTAATTTTTTTTTTAAGTTATAAAACCCATTTATAACCAAGTTTTGAAAAAAAGCTAAAATCTTTTTTGTGTTTATTGTAAAGCAATATAACTTGCATTTGAAAACTTCACCAAGAAAAATTAATGAAATGGCATACCTGGAAATGAAAGTAACTAGACTCCTTTACCAGTAGAGGAGAGTTTCTCTCAGAAAGATGGCCATATTTCGAAACAAAAGTGGGTGATTCTTTTGCCACCTACGTTTGTCATTAGAAGAACTATCTCCGGTCATCAGAACGAGTTTAAGATTACTTGGCACTTGCAAAACCAACAAAACGGTCCTCTTCAAATCGCCACCAACGCAGAATGACAAAAACAAGTTCTTTCCTTGAAAGTTTGCCTGAGGCTTGAATTTGTATGGAATTATGTGAATAAGAAAATCCCAGGCGGCGTACTGTTAGTGACTCGAAAAAATAAGACAGTTGCTTTTCGTTCAAAAATTAATTTTTTTTTGACGATATGTGACTTTTATCATAAAAGAGAAACATATAAAAATTATCCCACCAAAGACCAGTGTTAGAGTTGAAGCAGATCTATGGCCTATTTTGGTTTCAATTTTTTTTTCAGCTTCAGCAGGTGTCATTTTCACCTGCACGCACATAAAACGAAATGATTTCAGCTTCAAGAAAAAAAATAACAAGTTTGAGGAACTTCAAAGAACTCGCGAACTTGAGAATAGAATTGAAACAAACTTCAGATAGAAGAGGAACCATTTTTGGTCAGGAAAGTTGTGGCAAGATAGGAAGACGCATTTCATCAAAAGAGTTTTTCGCTTTTGTTTACAGAAGAAGGGGTTTGAACTGGTACAATGTGTAGTTCTTCCAGTCTTACAGGCTCCTTTTGTTCGTACTTTGAATCAACAGAAAAGATCAACTGTCCATTCCGCTCTTCAATTTGGTCTCCAGCATTGTCAGATCAAAATACAGGATAAGGTCATGAAAAATAGTATCACTCGTCTGTCTGCAATCGCCTTCTTTTCTGAAACGGACGATTCACTTCCTCTGATCAATCTAAAATTTCTTGCTGTAATAGAAACACTAGACTTTTTTTTCGGGTACTCTGCAATTGATTCATTTCAATTTGCTGGAAAAAATTTCAACAAAAAAAAACAATGCTGTGTGAGAATTAGATCCTGTTGGATCACTAACTTTGCTTTTTTTTTGTATCCAGTCTGTGAAAATTCATTTCTTGATAGATAGAATTTTCCAGTAAATTCGATTTTTTTCACTAAATCAAACTCAAAGTTTGATGATGGGAATTAGAGAAAAACGATCGGCTTAGCCTTTGCAAAAGTCGTCTGAAAAAAAAACAGACGCATCGAAAATAATCTTTCAGGTAAACTTTTTTCAAAAAAAAATTTATATAGGCGTTTCAAAACCTAATCAAAAAAATAAAACTAGTTGGGCTCAACATGCACCATTTTATTTTTATGTTTTTGCAAAAACAGCCGAACTTCACGATACTCGTTGGCTTGTTTTTTTTTTTTGAAAGTCATTTTGTTTTGTTCTTAACAGGAAGATCGGATAATGTTTGCGTTGGAACGTGAATCCAAGAACGACAGCAGCGCGAGGACGACAAAACGCGGAAAAAAGACTCTCGCCCGTGGTTTCCGGAAGAGAAACAAATACTGAAGCTCCGGGGCATAAGTGCGTCAGAGGGAAACAAACAGTGGCTGGCAGGACGAATTTTTCAAAAGAACAGAAACACAAACAAGCCGTTGCGCAACCGTCTTCGTTACCGTTGCCAACCTATCAGGAATTAGAGGGATTTGCCACTAAAGATTGTCTAACAGAGAAAAATCCGGACAACACCGAAAAAATTTGTGAAAAAAGTGACGAATTATCCGAAGCTTCGTTCATGAGAAGTTCGTCAAACGGAAAAAAAAGATTTGTTAAGCTTTGACTATTGGATAAACTAATGATCAACAGCTAAATCCAAAAAAGTTTTTTCGAGAGAATGTAGAAAAAACTGAAGTTATCTGAATTTATTTTGGAAATAAAAAATGGTGAATACATGAATAATATTTCCTGCTATTTCGTTACAAATACGGTCAACAACTCCTTATTTCGTTGGCCACTGGAAACAAACATTTGTTAAGCGTCTCACCCAAGCGGCGTTAAAAAAAGAAGCTTATACTTCTCCAAATTATATATTCGTCTTGAGCTGGTAGTTGATATAATATCCAATGATTGTTGAGATATTTCGAATGAAAGTTCTCGAGAATAAGAAAGACCTGTGCGAAAACTCTCCCGGAACCTTCAGAGGCGAGAGACTTCAGAGTTCGGCCTTTTAGCGTGTATTTTTTAAACTTGAGAGATCGAAAACTTTTCTCAGAAAGGAGACAGATTTGGAACTTCTCAGAAGTTTGTTCAGTTAAAAAAAACCGCAAATTCGGCTGCCCTTTTTTGCGTTGGAAATTTAATTACTTAAAGCTCTCAAAACATATTCTTTCTGGCCTTTTTTTTTCGAAAAATTTGAGGAAGGTTGTTGAGAAAACTGAATCTGAAAACAGTGAATGATCTCTCTGGAAGAATCGAAAAATTGATATTTGAAAATCCAGTCAGTGCTCTCATTTTTCCCCAAAAATCTATATGTTTTCTGGTCACGCCCCAAAAAAATTAGAAAATTTTAAGAAACATTTTTTGATAAACAGCATCCTTATTCGTTTTTGATTAATAGCATAAAATCTTCTGGAACAGACATTTTTATCAAGAAAAAAAGTGTGAAGGAAATCGGGGTGAAGAGAGAAAGTGCAAGATAATGTCTGCATCATCATCTTGATGTAGAGGATTCGGACGACGTCGCTGCTTTCCTGAGGGATTCCCAATCGCCAACCGATCCAAACCGGTTTCAGATTGACGGCGCCGCCCGGGTCGCGCATAAGTGCACGTCGTCTCAAAATTATCGTAAGATAAGCGAAAACGAGCGTGGCCTCAGCGAATGCAACACGAACCACACGGATCGCAATCTGCCCAGCATTTCTTTTTTCCTCGGATTCGCGCCCAAACGTTCTTTGAGGCGGTCTGAAGTTAAACTTCAGAATAAACTATATATATTTATTAAATTTCGAAGCAATTTGATCTTGATCACCAATGAGATCAACAGAAGTGCTCATAAATTTGCTTAATAGCTAAATTTTTTCAATTGTTCATGCTCGAATGAATTCGCACAGAATCACTCCCAAAAGAGAATAAAATAAAATAAACCGCTAGGAGCATTTTGACACCAAAATCAAGCTTCAATAAAAATTCCTCAAAGTCGTGAAGTTCTGCAAGTGCACGAAAGAAAGAAAAATGAGAATTTTGCTTGTTCAGGCCGATATTATTGGACTGAATTCTAATTATGCCTCGTTCATTGTGTTCAAAATTTAAAATTTGAAGAAGCTATGGAAGCAAAGCCTAACGAAGAAAGTTAGCTCAATTGAAAAGCTTTGCTGACTTTTTTTTGGGGCTCACATATGGCTTTTGGTCCAATAAACAAACAACATATAGTATAAATTGAGCTGCCACGGAGCATTTTTTCAGCTGCTCAAACGAGAGGAAAAAAGAAACAATTCAGAGGGCATGGCGTAATGAAATGAAAACAGAGACAACTGACGTTCAGGCAGATATTTTGTGTTTTCTCAGAGCCCTGAGTGCCCAAATTACGATTACTAGTCGTTCTCAACGAAGATAGATTGCAAAAATCGGTCAAAAAAGTGCTACTGACCATATTTTCAATTTTCGATTCGGCCGACTGAAGCACCGCTGGAAAGGTTTTCTTAGACGCACAAAACCAATAATATAGTTCATTTATTGCACGTAGAAATTGTTCAAATTGAGGGAATCGGATGAGAACTCATTCAGCGATGTTGAATTTTTTGTCGTGCGCTTCTCCGGGGAACTGCAGCTCCAAGTTGATGCGCCCAAAGTCGTACACCTGCAATTTCAAAAATTTTGTTTCAGTTTTCTTTCTACACTTCCTATAACTTTTCAAAAAGCAGAAGCGTGAAACTAATTTTTTGAAGCATTGACGGAGGTGGTTGTGAACAAAAAAAAAACATGAATCCATTCATATGGAAACAATAGGCGCCTTGTCGAAAATATTGACGCCCATGTGAGTTGTGTTTTGGTTTGGAGTTGTTCTCGGGGTCTCAAACTTTCAGGAGTATGCAGAAGATTTTTAATCATTTTTCAAACGATCAGAAAAGCAGCTCCTATTGGAAAGGCATGTTTTTAAAAATTTTTTAAAGCTGATTCCATACTTACTTTTCTTGCCTTTGTTCCCACAGTGACATAGTCTGCAGGAAGATGGACCGACCAACGCAAATAACCCTTCTGAAATTTTTTATTCACAATTTTCAGGTGAAATGGAACCAGAAGTGAGGAAATGGATCATAAAACTTTTTTTTGGTTTTCTTCAGTTACCTAAAAGATCCGTTTAGTTGCAGAATGAAATTCTTAAGATCTGAAATCGAATAAAATCTCACGTTAGCAGCGACTTTCTCGTCTATACCGCAGGTGTGGTGAATTGTCACGAAAGGATCAAGTTCGGACTGAGTTTTTAGGAAATCTGTAAAAAAAAAAATATTTTCAACAGTACAATTGTTAACAGTCTAACCGAGCAGTATTTCCTTCGACTTGGAACATCCCAGTTATATAGGTTTGCTTGGCATCGAGAAGATGTGCCAAGTCTGCAAAAACTCAGTTTTCTATGAGTTGAGTCGCAAAAAACTACCGTCGACTTTGTTCTTCTGATAAACGCGGAACAAACGGATTTTAGCACCCTCGAAGGGTTTTTTGCCACAATAGAGAGTTCCTTTGATAGCGATTGACCTGAAAACCTACTTGGGTTGAAGATTATTAATAGCTGAGTTATCCAGTTCCAGATGGTGGAAAAAAATTCAAAATTCAAAATCAAGTTTTATGGACTGTACAATGTACAAAAATCAAGTTTTATGGACTGTACAATGTAGTGGGCTCAATTATAAAAAGTTGTATGTTTTCAACAACAGGTTCGTAGTTCTAGGCAGGCTTGTGCGAGGGCCGGCCCGTCATCCTCCCGGCCCCCCGACCATTTCGTAAGCCCGGCCCGGCCCGGCCTTAGCGGGCCTCAAGAAAAAATGGCCCGCCCGGCCCGAATCGCGCAATTTTTTTCTAGTCGGATATCGAGTTTTTTTCACGACGAAAATTACGTTTTTGCTCATTTTTTCTCTCAAAGTTTAACAAAAACTATGATTTCAGAAGTAAAAGTCACATTTCGGTGAAAATTTTTTAAATGAAATTTTAAATTTTTTTTTTGAAGCCCAGCCCGGCACGAGCCCACGCGGGCTTTTTCCTGAAAATGAAGCCCAAAGCCCGGGCCGGGCCGCTCGGCCTGTCGCACAAGCCTGGTTCTAGGTCATAAACCTTTCATAAAACTGAATTTCGCAAAGAAGAGAAAATTTTCTGCATGATTTTCAATCAATGTTTGCTAAAAAAATATAATATTTCATGTTTTACTCAGCCATTTTGAACGATAAATATCATTCAACGTCGAATTGTAACAAATTTTTTTCAATTTCTTTATTAATGCTGATAGTTGACCTGTTGGCAACATTAGAAGGCGCCTCGAGCTCTCCAGCTGGAGCTGAGAAAACATTGTTCACGGCGAGAAACGTCAGGAACAAATATAAAAGCATCTGAAAACGAAAAGTTGAGAAAGTAGGACACGACAGCGGAGAAATCAATGAAAATGTCGGCTGGATTGCGGTTTATCACTGTTATTCAGGCTCTTTTCTTATCATAGAGCACCAATGGTCGGAAAACAAAACAGGGCAATAAGTGATTGCCGCGAGGTACAGACGGTTCAGTCGTCTGCCTTTTTGAAGTTTTCCTTTTTACGATTTCGTTGACAATGGCGCTTCAGCTTGAACAGCCTCAAGTGACCTTTGCTTTATGTAGTGAATTAAAACTCACTATGCTCACAAATATTTCGAATTAGGTTTGAGCAATCAACGAAATAACTTAGGATAAAAAAACGGATCAATTCGATGCCGAACTCCTTTGATTTTGTTAATCGAGGTGGTTCGGAGATCAGCTACCCAAAGAGCAAGTTGAAACCCTCTTAAAAAATCATTTGACCAGTTTTTTGTCGCTTCAAAGTTCGCAATTTTTTCTCCTTCTGAAAATAAGAAGTTTTCCAAGTCTGCAAAAGATGGCGATTCAAGCAAACGTTTCCAATCCTCAAAAAGTTTTCAAGCTTTTTTTTCAAACAAAGACAATGACAGGTATTAATTTTTTTGATGGTTTTCTATGAACAAAAAAATTATTAATATAAATTTATCAAACAAATTATTTGAATGCAGAGCGAACAAATCAACGATAGCTTTCAAAAAAAAGTCTGTTGAATGTGAATTATCATGACGCGTTTCAAGAACCACGGGGAATACTTTAGAAGTTGAAATAACACCAGGACAAAAAGTGGTCACCGAGACTGTCACAGGATAAAGAGCAGCAAATGCGAAGAAATTTTGATAAATGCAAAAATGAGAAAAAAACAGTCTTGTTAGAAAAAAAAATGCGAATTTGATGAAGCTTTAAAAATGCGTTAAATACAACGTATAAAGGTAGCTTTGATTGTTGACAAATACACGATAAGAGGAGATTATTAATAATTCAGTAACAAAGTAACGAAATTGAGCTGAACTGGAAAATGCACTCGGACGGCAGCCAATTTTAGAATCAGTTATTACACAGAAAGTACGCAGTGAAAAGACAAAAATCGAATCGTTTCGTTGTAAATCTTACTTTGGATAGCGCAAAAAATACGCTGAAATATGGCAAACGATGTGTTAAAGATACAGGATTCGAATCAGAAAATGCACTTTGAGAGAAAGCGTTGAGTTTAAATGCGAGAAGTGTGAAGCTGGTACACCTGAGCAGGTAATCAAAGGAGAAGCGAATCATCGAGTGTATTTGGCAAAAGGAACACGAAATTGCTAGGGAAAGGGAGGCACTCATCGGAATACTGAAGTTCACTAACTCGGTAAAGTGATTAAAAAACGTGCTATAATGAATCTATAAACTAAAAAATGAAGTCGTTGACGTTGTCATGGTTTGAAAGGAATGCATCTGGAAAAATCGAATTTATCTTGAGAAAACTTTATTGAAAAACCTGAAAATCAAGAAGGACTGTCCCCCATTTCAACTTCGGGGCTGACTGAGAGCTCATCGCCTAAAATAATGTGACTGATGATCAAACTCTCCAATCTTTTTACCTTCGTCAGGCGTCCCAAGAAATTGCGAAGCTGCTTTCAGTTTTTCTAAAGCATTCAACTGAAAAAAAACTTTTTTCTACTCTAGGTGATATGATGTGAGCAAACGGGATTGAAAGAATTGAAGATGGGGTTCACGACGGGAGTAGTGGCCTCAGAATCTGTCGGCTCGTCGACGCGCCTCATTTTCTGACGTCTATTGCAGAACCAAACCCGTACCACCTGAAAACTTCCGATGAAACCGAACCTCAGGAATTTTAGAAGGTTTTCAGTTCGGAAAAAATTGTTTTATTTTTTTGGAAAAAGGCTGGGCTAAAATTTTCCGAGTCGTTAATGTAATGGAGAAAAACATGGTAATTCGATTTTTCTCATAAAAAATCTTCCAGTGAAAAATTACATCTCGCTCAAGTTCCAGAGAATTGGCTATTTCGGTCATCTTATCATGGTCGGGTCGAGGATTGATCGCGAAAAATGTATCCAGAGAAGCTCGCTGAAAAGAAAACTGTTTTCAACTTTCATCTTCCAGTTTCGTACTTGAGTCATATCCAAATTAGTTCTTTTCCTCCGTCTTTTCACGTTAGGATCTGATCGGCTGATGGTTATGATAGGCGGCAAAGGAGTTGAAGAATTTGAACTGAGTTCTGATGAAGTCTGAATAGAAAGGTAAAAAAAGTAAATAACAATAGTTTTTTTAAATTAAGTTGATTCCGTGTAAAATCTTCACTCGAAGTGGTAGCTCTCATTCTGAAGCTTCCACCTAGAGCACGGTCTCCGGGCTCCAGCACAACATCAGCTAAATTCTGAGCTCGTCAAGGCGCAACTGGATGGACTACGCGCAGAAGGACGAGGCGAAGGACCGTAAGACCATGCTTTCAACTCTTTCGACTACACGTTTGGACTTCTAGCTCGCCAAAGGCGGTTGTTCGTTATAGCTTTCAAAGTTCTTGTTCACCGCCTAGTCGATACATCTATGACTAAACCAACAAAATAAATGATTTGATTTGATTTGATTGATTGACACATAGACAAAGGATCGAAATGAAAGTTCAGACAGAAAAAAAAAACTCACAATGAAAGCATCACTTCGGGGTGAAGCTGCAGTAGAAGGAGCGCGTTTTTCGATGAGATCGTTCAATGTGGCTCCATTTTCGATGGCTGACTCGATGTCCGCCAGCCATTCTTTCAGTAATGGCCGCAATTTGCACATGTTCTTGAAGGACAAGTTCAGGGCCTGAAACCAATCAAATGTTATGTATTTATTCATTTATTCCACTCAAACACGAAAAATGTATTTGTTACGTTACGTGAGAAAAACATACCTCGAATCTTGATATTGTGGTTTGCGAAAAATCAGTTCCATATCGTTTTCCTAAAGCTACGCCAACATCTCCTTGTGTGAATCCTGTAAACAGGAAATTGAGATTGAAATTTTTTTTGATATCTACCAAATTTTATTCTTTGCTTTTTGAATGTTTGAGCAAAAGCTTCTAAATCGCTCATGTCAATGCGCTCGTCATTTGCAGCCTGAAAATAATTTTTTGAAAAGCATTAAGGAACAAAAAAATCATTGAATTTTAATAAATTGATACTTCGAAAAAAATTTAAAAAAATTCACTACTTGGTAAAAACTAAAAGGGGAAACTTCAGAAATGATTTCGAGTTCATTTAACCCAATACATAGCTTTTCCTTCACTGCTAAGCAGTATTTTACATGTCTTTTCAGAGCATTTATAGCTGAGTGTTTTTTTTTTCAAGTTTTTCGTCTACAGTTCTTCGACCATTATGTCCTACCTCCACGCGAGCTCTCTCTTCATCGGCGAACAACCGTCTTTTCGTCGTTGTTTTCAGGTTTGGGTTTGACGTTGGCCGATGTTCCTAAAACTGCACTGTTTATAGGCGTTTCTTGCCCAAGTTTGAAAGTGCGTTCTCAGAAACTCAGACCAACCGGTTTCTTAGTTGCTGCCGCCATCAGAGTATGGAAAAAAGTTGCATTCGCGTGAGCATTCAATAAGGGGGAAGACAAGAGTCCATTTTGAGGTGTCACTGAAAACCAAGATTTCTGTGATTTATTGAACGAACTGCTGAAAATAGACATGTTCACTTTCTAAGAACTATTATTTCTAAGAACTATTCTTAAAAAAACTTATAATTTGAAAAAAACTTTTATAAAAGCCATTTAATTTCAATCGTATTTGGTCTTGAAGCGTTTTCCTTTGTTGAGCTTTGAATATCAAAATCATTGGACGTTTGATGTAATGAACTCGAAGATCCTTTTTCACAAATCTTGAGTTTTGAACACGCGAAGATGAATCATAAAGAATTATTCCCGTTCTGGAGCCTGTTTCGAGGTTTTGGGAAATTTAGAACTACCTCTATGAGACCTCTTTTAAATATAATTTTTCAAGGTAACTTTCACCTTCAACCTATTTCTATAAAAAAACTATGTAGTGTGTTTGAACGCAGTACTTCTGAATGATCAAACTTACAAAGTGATTGAAGGCTATTGTTTATCCCTAAGTTGAGATTGGGATTCAACATGGCCTGCAGCAATCTTTCCGGCGACTGAAACAAGTCTGTCGAGGGGAACAGCGGAGTCATCGGCGTTATGGAGGGAGAAGGTTCCGAGTGATCCATACCGTTTGAAGATGGCGTCGGAGTTGATGGGTGCTCTAAATGAATTTGGAATTCCACCCTCTAATATTCAGTTTTTGAATTTTTTTTCCGCTCTAGAACTGAGAATTGAAAGCTCTGGGGTAAGAAATCATACTGAAAAAAATTCTTGGCAACGAGGCTGTAGGAAACAAAAAACCATACAAAAAATGTTTGATTCTTTTGTCGCTCACCTTCAGAATCAAAAAAAAAATGATCTGAAAAAAGTGGCATTTTGAAAGCAAAAAAAGATGTCCGTTTTTCGAAAGGGTTTTTTTGACCTTTGACAAAGTTCGCCCCTACCTACCGTTTTTTTAATAGGAGCAATTATCTAGACAAAATTGGGTTTTAATAATGAAATTCACTAAGCAGAAATTAGAAAATACAATTAAAAAAACAGAAAAAACGTGTTTTTCTGGAGCAAGATCATTTTTTCTTGAATAATTTTTTTCGAACTTGCTATAAAAATTTGTACGGCTCTCAAATTAGCTATACTTTGAGGGTTACCTTGTTGAGAACAGGAATCAGAGTTCTGACTCTGCGCTCTTTCCTTGGCTTGGTTGGCAGCGATGGTTTCCGCGAACTTTCGAAGAAGATCTGAGTTGGTGAAAGAACCGGCTGGCTGCTCCATCAACGATGCCTCGTCACTCTCCGTCGACAGGACTTCTGAAGTTGCAACGTCGTCTTCTTCCCTGAAACTTTTTCTTTTTTATTGTTCGACGGACCTTGTGAATAAACTATGTGTGTTTGATTGAAATTTTCAAGAAAGCGTCTTTTTTAATTTGTAGTTCCAAAATTTCTGGAAATTAGCTCGATCTTTTCAAAGGGGTTGAGAAAGCTTTTAAGAGTCTTACTTGCACTTGGAAGGTAGGAAACTTTTAAGTTGCATGATAATGATAGCAAGCTTAAAGTCTGCTTAATGGAGAAATTTCAAATTCATCGATCTTCAAAACCTGCGCAGGTAGGAGATGAAAGTATTAAATCTGAACTTTTTGTTTACCTTGAGAAAGATTCCACACTTTCAAATTGGAAAAACTGTCTTGTAAAAAAGTCGTTCTAATTTTTCTTTGAAAAGGGGCATTGAAGGAATTACGGTAGGCTCGTGAGCGGAGAAAGGAGCTTTTGAAATGAAACACAAGAAAGAAGATTTCGCGTAGGCTGACTGAGCATTAAGGTTGAAATGTTGTTGAAATGTTACAATCAGAAATAAGTGCTGCAGATTACACAAACGTTTCGTACAGGCGACGATATTTCCATCTTGTAAACCCTTAATGCAACGTTGATGCGGAGGAAATCCCCCACAAAAAAAACATTACGGTAGCAAAAACGTCAGACGAATTTCATTATTGCTCGCTTCCATCCTATCCAATGGAATAACGCGTGCTGACACGAATTCACACGACAAAAAACGCCTCGGGTAAAGTGCATCCTGAATGAATGGCTACTCGGATTGGTGTAGCAACTCTGAAAGAGGCCGCCCTCACTTTTCAAAGTTGAAAAAGGTGAGGCGTGAGTCGAAAATGTGAAAAATTGACGACAATTATTAGGTGAGTGTCACCACGGCCCGGCTGCCCGTATTCAACAACTTATTGTCGAACTCGAAATTGCATATGCAATCTCAGAAAATTCAGTTTCACTTAAACTTTCTTTTCTGAAATAATCTTACCGCACTTTCATTTAATCGATCATATTCAAAAATATTTATTCTTTGTAATAATCAAGCAGGACATTGTTTTCCATTTTTGCATCCCCAAATGGAAGAAGTTCACAAAAAAACCACCCAAAACTATATATAATCAATGAGGCTCTTTTTTTCGGTCTGTCTGTTTGTACATAATAACCCATAGAAATCATAGAAACGGCAGGCTCTTGCTAAATTCAAACTCTAGAGCGTTTTCGTCAAACCGAGAAAACTCCAATGTTACCTTTTTTACCAAACTCGAAGTATTTGGAGAAAATAACGAAAGCTAATCGAAATTGGAAGCAGCGTACAAGTTTTCTCTACTTTTCGAAAACAACAAAAAAGATGAGAAGAGCGTTCCAGACGGGCTAAGCGACTTTGGGATACCCTGAGAAGCAGTGAAACAACAAGGAGAACGGAGGAAAAAAAAAAGTTGCGACGTGGCGGCGAACGGACGGACAAATTTGAACGTTTGTGTGTAATGCCAAGTCTAATGAAAGCGGCTCCCTTCTATCCGGTCAACGCCTTATTGGGAAAACCGTCAGGAAGCTCTCAGTAAAATGAGTTACCTACAAGAGGAAGTCATTCCAAAGCAACTATAACTGCTCAGACACAAGTCTACAATCTCCCATTTTGAACGAAAACTAAAGATACAAATTTTTGTTTCTTCTGCCACTCATAGAAAGTACATTTTCACAGACGTTTCCCGAAAAACGACCTCCAGATTTGGTAGATATGAACTATAATGGATTTTCAAGAATGTTCTGTAAAACTTGTAAAAGCCTCCCATTTACATAGGTCGTTAGATTTCTTATTCTAGCGTTATCAGATGTTTCCTGAAGAACAAGATTGAGATTATTTATAACGCAAAGAAAATAATTACAAAGAATGGAACAACTCGAGACACAAAGAGCAAGAGACCGGATATGGCGCAACATATGTCACGGCTCCAAAAACGGCGAAACCCACTCGCTGGCGGGGTTAAACGCAGAATATTGCTTAAACCCGCAATAATTGCCTTGATCCGATTACTTCAACTTTACGGCAAAAAAACCGTTTTTTGAATGTTGCATGTTTACCACATTTCTCTCTCGCATATTTGTCGAAATACTCGATTGAACTGTTCATTTTGTCAACTGTGGTGAAATGATCAAAAAGAGATTTCATGCTACAATCACATTATTAAAAGTTTTGAGAGAAGAGACCTTCCCACACTGAAAAAGAAAAAACCCCATTTTCTTTATCAGCTTTTTTTCGATCAATGACCGAATCTAAAGTTTGACCCAACTTTCAAGCGTAGCAATCAGAACCGAGGAAAGTCTACGGTTTCTTTTTTCAGCTTCCATATCCACTTGGTGCGCTTTTTGTTTTTTGTTTTTTTTTAAAATTTATTTGCGCTTGCATGCATCGCTATGCCGCACATGCTTTATTACTACGTTTTAAAGCACTGGCTTTTTGCCGCCATTGACGATTTTTGCATTTCGTTTCGTTTATTCTTGGAGGCCGCTCGGCGCAAATGACTTATGCAAGAGTCACGAATTTCACGGTAGAGCTGCCAAGAAAGTGGATGAAGTCAGCGAGCAAATCATGAAGGGCTTGCAAGCGTTTCATGACAGAATCGGTGGGAATAGACATTGAAAAGATGACGTAAAAAGCCGAGAGTTTTCAATACTCCCGGAGTCTTATGCTTAAAACAGTGAGAAGAAGAGATATGCAAATTTTTCTTGATTACAAATCGTGAAAGATCGGAACGAACCTCTGAGCAACATCGTCATCGTTAAAAATCAGAAGAGAGTGGGCTGTGGATTCGAGCAGAGTGTCGCTTGGCTGCGAGCCCATCACTAAGCCGCAGCCGTCTCCGTCGCCCGCTTCCGTTTCCTCGTTCTGAGCCAAGCTGATTAGACAGTTGATTGTGGGTTATTCCAGACAACAAAAGGCAAATGAAACATGGACAGAATTATGCAAAAGACGTCAATGGGAAAAGTACATGAAGGCAGTAAATTGCTTCCTGAAACAAACAGAAATTAATTAAAATGCTTCACCACTTTTTTCCATTAAGAAGATGAAAATGAATAGAGAAGAGAGATGGAGGTTTTTAATCCGCGGCCAGGATATTCAAAGGGTAACGCTCTTAGTTGAATTAACGAGACATCTACGGGAGATGACCTTCAAAAATGAAAAATATTGAACTTTTTTGGAACAAGATTTTATCAGAAAAATGCATGAGTGATCTTCCAACTTTCAAAAGTTTTAGCATCGCAAAGAAATTCCAAATAATTTTAGTCAAAATTTTTCTCAAAAATATTTGTTTGTTTTTCCATTAGAAACCAACTCAGTCTTCACAAAAAAGCCACAAAAAAAAACTGAGTTAGGAAAATTAAAAATTGAAATGACAATTTAAAAGAAAAGTTTCACTTCAGTTCAACATTATGCGTCGTGAGTAATCCAGAAAAAAAACCAAGCCAATTAGAGTGGACAAAAATTGAAAGGAATGCAAATGATTCAAAGACTCCTTTCCTCCCGGTTCGAAAGTGGTTGAAGGGAAGCTGATTATGCAAAAGCGCGTATCGATTCCCAAACAAAACTGCTGCTGCTGCCCCCATATACTCTCTTCTTGACGGAATTCTCAACTCAACTCATCTTTCTCGCTTTATTCTTGAAAACTTCAAGTTTTGAAGTTTCCCGGCCCGATTTAAATTGACCAGCAGTTTTATTTTTGAGACGTTTTTCGCTCGAATAATGTGATGGGAACATTGAATAATGTAGAGAAACGCTTCAGAAACCTTGGTAATTCTAGATTTTTATTTCTAGGGGGAAATTGAGGAGTAACTAAATCGTTACTCCCAAAATTTTTTCGTTTTTTTTGTGATGTTCTGATTTGAAGGGCAAACTTATATATTTAATCAAAAATTCAGTAATAATTCCGTTCAGAAAATTATGAAAGATGCAAAAAAAAACTTTAATTGTTTTTTTAACTGGGAGAGAAACGAGAAATAAGGTTCAAAGAAAACATAATTTCAAATGCAAACTTCTGAATGAGCATTGTAAATTACCGTGTTTTTTTTCATTCAATAAAAAGAGCTCAAGACTGTATTATTAGATCGAACTGAAATCGTGCTTCACAAATTTTTTGTTCAATAAGTGCAAAACGTTTAGATTGAAAAAAGGAGAGGGGTAGATGAATACAAACGACATCAACAAATGGTACCTCCAGAAAGAGTCGTTTAACAGGTCGACTTTTTCTTTTGCTTGAACCGATCAGCGAAGGGCTGGTCCGTGATGTCATCAAACCGTCGGCATCTGGATAATAATGAATTTTTTATAGTGTTTTGAAAATATATCATAATTGAATGCATTAGCTCTGAAATACAACTGCGCACCTGGAGGGTGAGGCAATAAGTCAAAGCCGTCCATAGCTTTTGCATGGACGCGCGACACCCGAATCTGAAAGTAATGTTTTTTTTCGTTGTTGGAAATACCAGGCATGAGCGAGAGAAGAATTCGAAAGAAAATTCGCCAATTTAATAAAGAGATAGGATATATCAGCTGAAATTTAACTCAAAAGTTCCGCTCAACTTTGAGGAGCTCATACAAAGCTTGATTTGCGAAAAAAATTTCCCGGTTCAGCTATATTAATTTGAGGAAAAATCGTTGAAAAAAATTTGAATACGAGTATTAAGATCAGCAAAGATTAGAAGCAAAAAAAATTGAATCGTGAGCGGCGAACTCGCAGCAGTAATAATTAATTTTTGTCTCGAATAGTACAGGGAAACTGAGATTATCTCTCAAATTTAGAAAATTTGAGGTTAAGAATTGTAAGAAAAAAAGAAGAAATGATAACTTGCAACGAGAAATTTGGTAAATTACTTTAATTTTGAGCCGAACTGAGCGGAAAAGAGTTCAAAAATAAAAATAAAAACACTACGGACGCAGGAATAAACAGTGTGGGAAAATAATTTTGACTTGTAGCTGAAGAAAAAAGGTGAGGAAAGCTTGAAAAAGTTTCTGATATTGTTTTTGATTCTGAGAAATTTCATAAATTTACAGCGAAAATGTCCAATGTTCAACTGAGCCATTAACTGAGCCAAAAGCAACTGAGCCAAAGCCTCAGAGATTCCGAACAAGATCTGAGTTATCTATAAAATATATGATGTTAGTAAGAAAAAAACGCGTTTCTGTTTGTTATTGATAAAAAAATATACAGAGCTGCTGGAATTTGAATGAAGGAGATTTACTTTTCATCAAAAAATGCTTTCTAAAAAAAATAAGGTTTAGTTTATCATTAATTGTGCGTGAAAAAACACACGACTGTAAAAAACCAGACTAATACAGTTCTGAAAGAGCCCTGTGCTGGTGCGCAAACGGAAAGCTTTTAGGGTCTGACGCATTAATGCATTTGCAACTTTTGAAGCAGGGGGAGAACAAAAAGTTAAAAAAAATTTGTGCTCTACCGACGAACATTGAAAGCATTTCGGATCAAGGTTGTAAAGTTGGCATAAAATCAAACTGAGATTGGAGGGAGAAATGAGTTTTGAGCAGCAGCCAGCAGCCAGGCAATTGTCTCAAGTGTGATGCTCATGATGAAGTTTAAGATATTATTTTCACGCATGCCATCAGGACACTTAGATTTTCAATCCCGAAAGATAATTATTAGAACTCCAAATTTTAGTTGTAAAAAAACTTTTTTTGAGAATTTTCTATTGGTTATTATTCAGAAGATTGGATACATGAGGTAGGGGTATTTACGAAAAAAAGGTCATGTGATTCAAAAACTAAAAAAATTTTTGAAAACTAACTGAAAATCCTGAACTAGATAAAAAAATTTTTGAATACTGTGCTTCCACAGCTATTTCTCAAGTTTTTTCCAAAAATTTATTTTGAGTTATTTTGATATGTTTTTGCTGAAATATATGAAACTTTGTTTTTGGTAATATGAAACTCGGTATTAAAGCGAATTAACAAGCCACAACTTCTATGAGCGTTCAGCTTCGAAGACTGAGAATGAAAAGCCAAGGTGAGAAGATTGCAATCGACGTTTTGCAATGAAAACATGCCAAATGCCATGAGTCATGGACGATAAGTATATGAGAAAATGTTGCCGAATACAGGGTTACTGTAGATTGCGGCAAGGAGATGGCGAAAATAGCATTTCGGAGCTCGAGCGAAAAAAATGAGTTGATGTAACAAAAACAAAATGTACGAACGGTTTGCAAATGACAGAAGGCAGTCGGAAATATTTTCGATGGGAGACTTCGGGGTGAAGAATCATGTTTGAAAACTATAATAAAAACCCTCCGGAGGTTGGGATAAAAAATGGAAGTGTAAAGACGGTTGATTGGAGAATTTCGGCCAAGATATAAAAGTTTTCGTCAGCTTAGGTGTTGTGTACGCAAACAGCAAATCTTACGAGTAACGGTGAATTTTTCTCTCGAGGATCTTGCTTCTCACAAAATTCTTCAAGTTTTTTTAATCAATTTTCATATATTTTTTTCCGTTGATAACACGCTAATGATCTTTCAATTTTCCCTTCACTGATGATCAGAAAATTAGAATTGCTTACTCCAATTCTCGAAACATATCAGTAAAATACTGTTATTTGAGTTTTGGAAAGTTTCATAGGCATTCAAAAAACCTTTTCCCACCTAAATAAATTCCTTATTTATTCAGTGATATGGTGTGGTAGCTCAATTGGTACAGATTACTGGAAAAAGAATAAAAATGAGATGTTGCGCTTCCAAAGAGATAAGAAGTCTTTTCGAATGGGAGAGGTGGGTAAAGCGGGCAAAAGTTAAACAAAAACTCGTTAATGCGAGGCAAGCACCAGGCAAAAGGGACGATGTGTCAAGAATCTCGGAGAGTTTCCATTTGTTTGTATCATTTCAATATCTTTCTAAATGTGATTTTCAGAGTGGCCGTCTTCAGATTGGGTGTAATGGGAATGGAAGACGCAGCTAGAAATTTATTGCCGTAAAACCAGAAATTAATTGCTGAGAAGCTATTCAACAAACTCATACAAACAGTTACGATGTTAAAAAAACAACGTTCAAGCTCCGTTTGCAAAAAGGAAATAATATTGAATAAAAAAAAGTTTTAAAAACGTTTGGCTCACGAAAAAGAACATCAGTTACCGTTTCCGAAAAAGATCTTTTTTGAGTTTTTTCTCCAAAACACAGATGGTACGCAGCAATCTAAGCGATGACACAAAGAAACAAAGAGGTGGGAATTAAGGAAACACGGCTTGGCGTCAGCTTTTGAAGAGCCCGCTGGTGTAAGAAAGTGGAAACGGTCGTCTGGGAACGTCTGCAGAGGGATGCACACAAAAGAAAGGTCTGTAAGTTACGAGATCCTCCGGAACACTTTTTGGATTGATTCTGCTCCTTATACGTGTTAAACTTATCCTGATGTTCAATAAACGATTCTCTACAACAAGAAAAAAAAAGTAACAAGAAAACTTATAGCACACGTTAGAATGATAACATTTAAAATGAAAAAGATACCAGAAAAAATTTCGAGCGGTTACGAAACATCGAAAAAGATTGGAATGTGAGAAGGCTTGTTTTCTGTTAACTGAAAACAAACGATTTATATAATTATCTCTCATGTATTAAAGTTGACAAAATTCTGTGAATAAACATAACTTCTATCGCTAAAGAGCCGTCGGGGATACGATCCTTGCTTTAGAAAGTAGTCAGATTCTGGATTGGAAGTACGACAAAAAATCTTCCAAAAACGTTTCAGTTTCAGTCTTTGATGATATCTTATGACTTTTCATAACTGTTTCAACACATTCCAGCAGTTTTTTTAACACTCTCTAACAGGTTTATAACACGATTTCACTTTCACTCGAATTCGATGATAAAATATAGACATCCACAAATTATTCAAACTTAGCAGTGTAATTTCTACCGTTAAGGAGATTAAAACTTGCGCTGTTTTGACCTGACCTTGTACATAATCATAAAATAACTTTGAGTCATATTTGAACAGGAATCTGACACAAAAAAAGAAAAAAAATTAACTGGAAAATTTCAAGCCTTGAATAATTGACTTTTTCTTTATTGTGCTGGAAAGTTTAAAGAAGCGGCAAGCTTTTATTCAACAGCTACATGAACTTTTTGATGTATCATCAATTTTTTTCAAGCTCGCTTATTCTCTTGTTCAACTAGCCTTTAAATCATAGAAACTGACAATACTGATCAGCCGTCTGAGAAGATTTGAATTCTGCGGCCGACCAGAGCAACTGTCGATCTCGCAGTTGTGTTTATGCAAAATGAGCGCGGAGGCCGCTATGATATGCTATCGGCGGCTCCTCAGGAGAGCAAACGCTTTCTCACTTGACAGCCTTTCGTATTACACAAAACATTCATTACCTAATCTTTCTGGCCGCATCCAACGGGAGCTCGTGTAGCACCAATTGCTCATGATTTCTCCCTCGCATCCTCCATTCATTAACAAAAATCGTTTTTGCGACACAACACGTGTCGACAACCCCGAATGTTAGTCTTTAACACCACTTGGTACCTTCTTCCGGAGCGCCGATGCTTGGGAGATAAAAGGTCGTCCTGATTTTGTAGAGCTTCATTTGATGGGAGTTTGGGGTCATACTCACAAATTACTATGAAATTTAAATTTTTAGATGTAATCCTCAAAACCCCTAAAAACAAAATGAAATACTTTTGACAAAAATTGGTCCAGCAACATCAATCTGGATAGTTAGTGGTAAAAGGAGAGTAATTCTTTTTTCGAACGCTGTAAACTATGAGAAAAAAATCCACCTTTATCCGTTTTTCAATTTCTATTATTATTCTTTCTAATTTTACTAATTTTGCCACTTTGAAAAATTTTGTAAAGCTGAAAAAAAGTACTTCTATTGAAAAAAAGGTTCCAATTAAGTCTTTGGTTCATTAAGCTGCGCGTACATCACTTCAATAACGACCAAAACACACTTCACACCTTCCTATCAGCAACGGCCGCTTCCTCTTTGAAAGTTTGATCATTGTGATCACTGATCGATAAAATGTTGTGTTCCAATTATTCTCTGAAAATCAATTCTCTTTTCTATCACAGTTGTTATTGAGGCGGGGTAAAAACTCGGCCCGTGAATGAGGCCGCCACTAGGAAAGGCGGTAGACAATGGTCGACGGCAGCGACACGGAAAAATGGTTGAAAAAAGGCAAGTGGCACCCGATGTTAAATGAAATGTTGCTTCCGGTGCATGTAGTTTTGCATATTAGATGGCCGTGCGGTGGGGATATGCGGTGCATTTGCCTATGCAAGCGAAAGAATGCTCGAAAGCTGAATGGCTCTATGAATAATCACAATGAAGCAGGAAGGGTAAGTAAGGGCGAGTCAACTTTTTTGCCCCCGACTAGACCCGAAGCTCAGGAGTCGAGAAACGCGGGGGACTTCATAGC